CACCAGCACTGGGGACGGGTTTGTGCCACTGGGGCTCGGTTTGTGCCACCAGCGTTTGGGACCGGTTTGTGCCACCAGCGCTGCCCCAACCTCGGCCTGGAGGCTCCATCCCCTCCCGTGCCTCAGGGGAGGAAGAGGAGGGGGTAACACCTTCCTCCTCTTTTGTTAAAACCCAGCGATTGCGGCACACAAATCATCGCCGACAACTTCAGAGCCGCTGCAACAGCTTCGCAGCTCCCATCTGCTGCGAGAGAGAGAGAGAGAGAGAGAGAGGAAAAAAAATAAAAACCCAACAAAAAAACTTGGAAGGAGCCAGAAATGAGCAGCATTACGGGAGAGGCTTCGCAGAACAGATGTCTGCACCTTGCACCCACCGCGGCGTCTTCCCACAGGATTCGGGGGGTCCCTGGCAGGACTCTGCCCTGCAGCTGCCTAAAATTGAGCGAGCGAGTGAACAAAAACCTCCTCAGCAAAGGCTGGAGACGTTTGGCTGCTGCTGCTGCTGCTGCACATCTTGTGGAACAGAGCCCAGAGCCCGGGAGCTGGGGCCAGGCACGCTGGGGTGGCAGGGGAGGGACTGGGGGGGCTCTGCAAATGGGGCCGCTTGTCCCACGTTGTTATTTTTGGGGTAAAAAAGGCGCAAAGTGGTGGAGGATGCTCAGGGGTGGATGAGCAGGGGCACAGTTCTTCCACACCCCATGGGTTGTGTGCCATCCATGCCCACTGCTTGCCCTGCCAGGGGAGGGACTGGGGCTCTGTAAATGAGGCCGCTTGTGNGCTGTGAGGGAATTGCTGCTCTCCTGCTCACCCCGAGCTGGGTCCTTTTCCTCCTCTGTCAGCATTGTCCTCCTACCTCTCGCACAAACAAGCCCCCGTTCTGCTTACTTGCAGGAAAAGTCACAAGGACCTTCCCAATTTAGTCTCCGTCACTCGGGAGAAGTCCCTGCGTCAGCTCTTTGTGACAGTTTGGGGGAAAGTTGCCTTTTTTAGCCCCTCGTGCCCTGCCTGTTCCAGCGGTTTTCGCACGGATTGGGACAATGGTGGGATGGAGAGACAATGGTGGGATGGGCCCTGGTGACACCCACGGCCAGGCCACCCCCGTGGTGCCATCGGGCCATCAGTGACTCGTGATGAGGTCACAGGGCTTCTGTCCATGCTCTTCCCCAATTATTTTAGGATATAAAGAGGGGAGAGGGAATCCAAGCAGCAGCCCCACTCCCGCATCACTCACCAGGATGAAGAGGCACTCGTTGGCCAATTTCTGGTGCTCCTGGATGGTGGAGAAGACCGACAGCACCAGGCAGCTGAAGACGAGGAGGAATCTGGAAGCACAAAGTGTCAGTGGGGGCACAGGGACAGCCAGGGGACCCCAGCCCACAGTGCTACCCCCCTCTCACAGCCTGAACCCCCAGGCAAGACCTCCCCAGGTCGTGGCAGAGCCACTGGGGACACGTTTTGCCTCTAGATGGTGGCATGGAGCCTTTGGGGAGCCCAGGAGCTGCCGTGGGGCTCGGTGCCAGCTCTGGCGCAGCCCTGCAGCTTCTTAATTAAAGGCAGGGAGGGACACGGGGGGTCTGGCACTGTGCAGGGCTCTGGTGCTGCAGGAAGGGCACCAGAGCTCCTCAGGACTGTCCCCAGCATCACTGCCACTGTGGGGACATGCCAGCAGCACCAGGAAAGTGTCAAAAAAGGGGAAAAGTGCCCAAGAACAGCTCTGAGGCTGCTCCTCCCTGAGCACTCAGGCACGAGGGGCTTTGGCCCATTTAAAGTAAGGAGGGGAATTAAAATTAAAAAAAAGAGAAAAGGAAAAAAAGAAAGTCGACTCTGAAGCTGGAGCAAATGAAACCTCCAAAAATACATTTTTTTCCCCTGATCCAGCGATTCTAAAAAAGGAAAACGGAGGGCTTGTGCCACCGGCCCACGTGACACAAAGGGCCACTCGTTGCTCCGTCACCACTGCTCTGGGATGGCACCAGGGACCATGGGCACACCAGGGACCACAGGCACACCAGGAACCATGGTCACACCACCATGGATGGCACCAGGGACCATGGGCACATTGCTCTGGGATGGCACCAGGAACCACAGGCACACTCCTCTGGGTGGCACCAGGGACCATGGGCACACCAGGCTTGGTGGCACTGGGGAACATGGGCACACCAGGGACCATGGGCACATCACCATGAATGGCACTGGGGAACATAGGCACACTCCTCTGGGTGGCACCAGGGACCATGGGCACACCACACTGGGTGGCACCAGGGACCATGTGCACATTGCTCTGGGTGGCANCCACATTGTTATTTTTGGGGTAAAAAAGGCTCAAACTGGTGGAGGATGCTCGAGGTGGATATCCCAGCTGCAGATGAGCAGGGGCACAGCTCTTCCACATCCCATGGGTGTGTGTGTGCCATCCATCCCCCCTGCCCGCCCTGCCAGGGGCTTTGGCTGCCTTTCCCTGCTGGAAAAGCTTTTCCCAAGGTGGGATTTTCCACGCAGGGATTCTGGCTGTGGGAGCCCGCTCTGGATGTGGTAGATGTGGTTTCCAAATGGGCCTCGGGCTCGTGTCCCGGCTCCCTGGGGACCTCCAGGTGCCCTTTCCTCCAGTGACAAATCCCCGCTGCCAGCTCAATGTGCTAACTTAGGCAAGACCCATTTTCCTGCCTCTTAACGAGCTCCGGCTCCCGCAGCACCCCAGGAACGGCGCAGCCCCGCGGCACCGCTCCAGGTGACAGGGAAAGAGGCAAAATTTTGTCCGTGCCCACACCTGGAACACGCCAGGCAAGGAGGGAAACACCTCCTGCCCCACGGCTGTGATGTCCCAGCATGTCCCCAGCTCCTGCTTTGGGACAATCCCAATATTGGAGCCCCCTCTGTCCCTGCAGCCTCCAGGTGTGTTGGGGCTGCTGTCACAGCCCCCCCGAGGTAACAAACCCGAGCGAGTGAAGCTGTTCAGAGCCCTGAGCTGAGCCAGCAGCCGTGGGATGCTCGGATCCAGCCAGGGAAGCTGGAGCAGAGCTCAGGAAAACACCCGGAGCTGGGAAAGGAGCAGGTGCGCTCCTGGAAACATCCCTGTGGCCATGGAGAGGGATTTCCAGGGCTGGGGATCCACGGTGAGCCGGGAACGGGCGCAGCTCTGGGGGTACAGCGGGGACAGGATCACCGGACACGGCTCTGGGGTGGCACTTGTGCTTTGTCCCAGCAGTGCTACAGGTACGGGACAGCAGAGTGTCCCCCTCCCACCCAGAGACAGCAAAGTGACCCCGCTGCCACCCACAGCTGTCACCCCGCTGCCTCTGAGGGTCCCCCCACACTCTGAGACCCCCGTAGGGACAGCGGCAGAGCGGGACGGTGACGCGGTGACACCNAATTCAAAGAGGTGGAAGGGCTGAGAGTTAAATTCAAGAGTTTAAGAGTTAAATTCAAGAGGTTTTTCCAAGCAGGCGGTGGGGACTCAGCACGGAGCAGGGATGGAAGGATTTTCCTGCAATCCATGCCAGCCTCCAGGGTTAGGAATTGCCCTGGGGGTGTTGGCAAGGGCTGGGCACTGGCTGTGGTGGCACTGCCAGCATGGCAGGAGGGTTTTCTGGTTCTGCAACAGGGCTGGAAGAACCAGGGAAATTCCTCTTCCAGCTGGGAAATGAACCCCAAGAACCAGGGAAATTCCTCTTCCAGCTGGGAAATGAACCCCAAGAACCAGGAAAATTCCTCTCCCAGATGGGAACAAACCCCAACAATCAGGGAAATTCCTCTTCCAGGTGGGAAATAAACCCCCAAACCAGGGAAATTCCTCTCCCAGGTGGGAAATAAACCCCCAAAACCAGGGAAATTCCTCTCCCAGGTGGGAAATAAACCCAACAGCAGCGCAGGGAGCTGGGCCTGGCACAGGGGATGCTGCTCCAGGCAGGGGATTGCGGCTGTTCCCGGTGCTTGCTGCTGGCTCAGGCTTCCCTAATTTGCTCCAGGTGAAGCTGTTCTGCATGGAAATGCTCCTCCAGGAGCAGCAAAAGCGCTGAGCCCAGCTGCTGGCGCCGTTTCATAACCGTGGGCACCAGCAGACCCCGAGAATTTGAGGGGCTGGCGGGTGGGCAGGCACAAACCACAATGGGAATAAATAGAATTGGGCACCTGGAAAAACGCATGGAGCAGCTCCAGGGTGCAGAAACCCCCTGGCAGGGCAGCCCCTGCCCACGGGCACGCAGCTGTGCCCGTGCCAAGCTTTGCCGGGAGCAGGGAAGCGCCTGCTAAGGAGGAGGAGATTGGAAAAGGGAAGTTCTTATTTTGCCTCCTGGCTCTAAAGCCTCTGGTTAATGCTCTGGGCTCCCTCCTGGATTTGCTCCGTAAGCTCCAGGGCTGCGAGTTCTCATTCCAAGCAGGCGAGGCTTGGCTTGGTGAGGCCGGGCAGAGCCTCCCTGCATGGTCTGGAGGGGATGGAGGGGCTGGGGGCACCTCAGAACTCGGATTTCCACCTGCACGGGCTCCCATGTGCTCACCACCCTTTCCCTGAGCATGGGGGACATTGGGGACACCCACCAGACCCCAAAAGTGGCTCCAATCCCTTCTAACTCCCCTCCACGGCAGAGCTGCTGCAGGAATTATTCAATCACCAAACCACGGAGCCCAGAGCAGGTGCTGGGAGAAGATTTGGGATCAATTGGCCGAGACAGAAAGAGGCTGGAGCGGGTCAATAAACGCGATGGGCTCGGCCGCGCTGCGGGGAGGGAAGCGCGTCACTTCTCAGCGGGGATTTCCATTTTAGCAGCTCCCAGCCCTGTCCCGGAGCCAGCCCGCCCGGGGGAGGCAGCGNCAGGGACCATGGGCACACCACACCAGGGACCATGGGTACATCACCATGAATGGCACCAGGGACCATGGGCACACCACACTGGGTGGCACCAGGGACCATGGGCACACCACCCTGGGTGGCACTGGCACCGAGCCCTGGTGGCCCTGGCACCTTGGTGGCACCCATCTCAGCCCCATGGCTGTGTCCTCATGGTGACAATGCCCAGGGGCCACCAGGGGTGGATGGAACCTCCCCAAAACAACAATGAAAACCCAATGGGGAAGGAGAAATCTCCTCAATTAATCTGGGGGCTATGAGGGGCTCATTCCCCCCTCAGGAGGACTTTCCCACCTCTTTGTGTTGTTGATGTTGATGGGATTTTTGCGCAGAACCAGGGTGAATCCTGTCCCAGCTGTCCCAGTGTCACCAGGGGACACAGCACAGAGGGGACAATGCTCTGTGTCCCTCAGTGGAACCATCCAGGACCCCTCCTCACTGACCCCACAGCTCCATGTGGGGCTGGGGGCTCCCAAACTCAGCCCTGCCATGAGGTGGCACAGCATAAATGGGACCTTTTCTGGGTCCTTTTCCCCAAAATGCTGCTGATAGTGGGACTGACAGCCAAAAAACCCTCAGGAATGGGAGAAGGGCTGGATGCAGAGCAGGGAGGAGGCAGAGCTGGGGCCAGGGGTGTCACAGCCCTGTCACCACCCTGTCCTCCCTGCACTGCTGCTCTCCCAGGCAAGGCAGAAGGTTGGAGCCAGCTCCTTCTCCCTCTGAATTATTAATTGGGGTTATTTTTCCTCCAGCGCAGCAGTTCTGGAGTGAAACCCCACAGGGAACAGCAGCACCCCCGTGGCACGGGCAGGAGGTGCCAGGAGGAGCAAAACACGGCTCAGAACTCAGAGCTTGGTGCATCATCAGCAAGAAAAGATTATCCAGGCAGGATTTAGCAGGCAATTACACGGGCAGCCAAGCACAAAGCAGAGGAGAAGGCAGAAATCTTGCGGACTGCAAAAGATTTGTGCCCCTTCTGCAAAGCAAGATTTGTGCCCCTCGTGCAAAGCAAGATTTGTGCCCCTTGCCTCATGCACACGTGGGGACTTTGCTGTGGGTGGCCCTGGCTCTGGAGCACCACCGGGATGGGATGGGGAAACCTCCCAGCAGCATCCTGTGGGATTTGGGGAAGGATCCAGGCAGGAGAGGCCCCACGGGGCTGGCTGGGAAAGGAACTTTCTGGGAACGCATCACCTGCTAGGAATTAACTCCAAAGCCCGGGCAAACGCCCCGTCCCGGCTGCCGGCGGCGCTTAAGCGGCTTAGGGAAGGGTCAGATGGCTGAAGGCAGCGAGGGGAGCCAGGAACCAGCATCTCCCGTCCCTGCCGGGCAGGAATTCTGCTCTACCAAACATCCAGGGGGGTTTTACACCCTCAGCCCTGCACTGACACTGGCAGGGCTGTCCTGGTCCCCACTTTCCCAAATCTCCGGGGGTGGCACCAGCCCTGGCAGGGCTGTCTTGATCTCTGCTTTCCCAAA